GTGTGAATGTCAACTAACTGTAATTGCTGGGAAAAAATCAGAATTAAACGATACAACCGTAAAAGTTGTGTTTGTTCTATTTTGGTATTGGGTAACATGTTAGTAATGGTGACTTTTCAGTGAAGCGTAACCATTACTTTAAGGTAATCGACTGGTAAACAATGACCAAGCTATATTATGCGTATTTTAAATCTCGATCTGCAGGTTGTGTTGCTGTATCATACGGACCCCGCTGTACAGAGACGTGTAACGAGGGATGTAAACCTGAACACTGCAAACTAATGCTGCAGCGGTGAATTCGCAACTTCACGAATGCAACAAATGGGTGGAGATGTCAGCAAATGTGAAAACCGTAAGTAGTGATAATCAATCTACACTAATCACACGTTACTTTCTATTCCTCGCTTCTTACAAGTGTTTGTTAAGACTGAAACAATTTCTACTCTTCTTAAACTGGTATCGTATTTCAGAGATGCTTCGAGAACGTTGTACATTCGAAGAATCAGTCTTTGTTAGCCAATCTCAGAAAAGCAGACAAAACCCTGGATGGTTTTACATTCTTTAGTCCAGCAGTTTATACAGTAATGATCACCACTTAATCTTCAGACTATGCATACCGGGGCATATGGACAAGACCGTACTGAGACGTGTGTGTGTGGCGATTCTGATGTCTTTAAACCGTTAGCTTTATGACGAGAGTGCCATTTCAACAACGTAATTAAGCTTGAATAAAGCCATATCACTATTTAACCAGTTTTATTTACCGTTGGGGAAGTCTGAAGTGATGCGGTCGGACAATGCCACTGGTTGCAGTAATCCCACCATCACCGATGCATAAAGTTTGTCTCGCTGGTCATTTCTGATGGTGTAAAGTTTGTTGACATTTTTCTGCCAACTGTCATTGATTGATAGTGAGATCGCTGCAATTTCAGTGACCAAAAAGAACGCCTCCCCTTTATAGAATGATAGATGCACGCACATTTGCTCACATTCGTTTCAATACCAGCCCGTACTACGTTAAAGTGCGTCATCACCATTACATTACTACTTGATCTGTGGTTGTGTTGCTGGGACATACGGACCCTGCTGTACATAAAAGTGTAACGAGGGATGTACACCCTGAATACCGCGTTCGTCAACCGGTGACTGTAACCATGAAATGGAACGATGGATGGACAGGTCAAAATGTCACCGTAAGTAGTGATAATTCAATCTACATCAATCACTTGTTAGTTTCATTCCGCCTCTTCTTACATGTGTTTGTTGTGAGTGGGAGGCAATTTCTACTTAAGGATGCAAATCGCAGTACACGATGTTGGTATTGAATGGATGGATAAGACAAACATGTGTGAAGTACAATGGTTTGAAAAACTCTGTCCAGGCAATTTAATAGGAATATGTTTGATTGATATTCACAAACATAATATCAGCATTACCTTCGAATTGTGGTTGAATTACTCATCGTGAATATCAAGCCCGGAGACTCCATTACAAAGGCCTTCGGTCGGATCTCATGACTAGATTGGTTGCGCCTCCAAACCTTCATAAAGTGAGTGAGAGTATGGTTTTACGCCATTTCTAGAATTTTCCGGCAATATCACGGCGAGGGACACCAGAAATTGGCCATACACATTGTACATATGTGGGGAATCGAACCCCGGTCTTCGGCGCTTTAACCATAAGGACTGTACACGATATGTAGTGGGATATCGGATGTAGATGGTATGTTGATGTTATGAACATTTTAGGATTTGCAAATGCATGATCATTATTTAAACGTTTTGGTGTTGAACATCCCGCTGCTAGCTCTCCTCCAGTTGACTCTGAAACAATCTACCGCTTAACTCCCAGGATTACTGAACTTGCAACTGAAACGCTGCAACTTCGTACTGTAGAAAGAAGCAATCTATCCACATGATGAGGTCCCTAACTAGCATCGACTTTATAGAAAACATCCTGAGAAACACCCTGTCATCACAATCAAACAAACTGACTCAAACATCAGCTTCTTGGTTAGGAATTCAACGGGGAATCCACTGAACCTCTAACACAACACTATACTTCAGGCACAAATCGAAAATCCTTCAGAGCAATGAACTGTAGATGTCGCTTCATGCTACCCTTTGTTATATAATGTTAACAACATTCTGGTTACCAGTGAACCATTTAACTTTGAAATCAAACTGTCAAACACCAATTGCACAGCTTTGCTTCCTCTCCGTTGAACTAAGCCCAGCTTTCACTCTGACCACTGACTACAACTCGGTACACATTTACATTAACACTGTACTCTGCAAATCTAACGTCACTTGCATCTGAATTAACAACAGCTGCAGCAGTGGCTAATTGTGTACAAGGTATCCAAAATCATATTTTGCTATGTTCTTGTCATAGGTTGCGATACCGGGCCCAATAACCAATTTCATGGCAATGATTTGACCAAGTGACCTTTACACAGACTGGCTCAGAAATACACTGAAGCAAAGCATTAATCGCAAGTTTAACCTTGTTGATCCTGCCTTTTGGGACAGAAATAGTCATCGGACTAGTGTCAATAACAAATCCTAACCATTCAATATTCCGGGATAGGGACCCACAGGGATTTCTCAACTTTAGGTACAAAACCTGTGATTACACAATGCCATTTAGAAAGTGGTCAAAGTAGCGGAGCTGAGCGGCTGGGCGGGTTGACTTTGTGTGCTGGCGATTAGGTGCCTGGTTCTGAGGGTGTGAGTTCGAACTCCGGATGGGGCTCAATTCAGAGTACTGTGAATTTGTAATTTACTAAGAAAGTGTAATGCCGAATATAACAAATGTTACGTACAAAAACCTGCTTTGAAATGTCATAGATGATGAGGATCCAGACAAAATAATTATCATCTAAAAATGTCACTATTTTGTTTCCGTCTGACCTCCACTTTTTAACCTGCTGCATAGTCACTTTCGTAGACACACGAGCCGCTGACATGAGTCCCAAGAATAAAGCCATAAACTTATAGAAGCAAAGTTTTCCAGTTTTATCTGCCACGCGAAGCCAAGGTAATCTGCTTGAACAGGTTAAATATCAATATGATGATAAACCGAGTGGATGTCAATTTGTTTAAGCTAATAACTCAGCATGAACCTGACCTTTGACTTTTGGCACGTCAAAGATGAGCAGGCTGGCTAGGCTGAAGAGCAGGAATAGGCTGGATAGCAAACTGTACGTGGGCCGAGTGACCGTCGACGAGCGGCGAGCTGACCTTGATGTGGAATATGGATTGACGTGCACGCTTCCTGGCGAAGTTTCCTGACTGTCTTGTTCTCAGCCGAAGTAATCCTTTGTCTTCGTAGGAGTTATCAGCGAGATCACTTGCAACATAATTTCACAGTTTCCCCAGCCCCTTCACTAGAATCCGCAATTTTAAAGTGTTAATTTCTTTTATGGACACATTGCTGACGTCAGAACCGTCTCAGCCTCTTCGTAACGTTGATTCTGAACCGCAAAAAGAGTATTCAAAGAGTCTATTGTCTCACTGTTGAAATTGAACTGTATTTTATTCCCTTCTCTTCACCACGTTTATAATCTTTCTCAGCTTTGTGTTTCTTCAAATCAGTAGAAGCTTGAGTAAACTCTTGTCTTAAGGCGCCAAGTTGGGAGTTGAAGTATTCTTCCAATAGGTCCTCCTCTGCGTTCAGCCGTTTCAAGATGGCGTCTGATTTGGCGTCGGTGTTCATTTTAAACATACACGGTCTTGCTTGCACAAGCGAGAGCACGAATTCAAATTTGCCAACCTTATATATACCCTTAATCAACGCCACCTGGTGGAGTGACCAGTCTCTTGACTGGTCCGCTAGGAGAAAGCAATTTCCAACTTATTCATACTTCATACGTTTGAAATTTCATTACTACTTATCTACAGCTTGTGTTGCTGGGACATACGGACATCGCTGTGCAGAGACGTGTAACGAGGGATGTAAACCTGAACACTGCAACCGCGTCACCGGTGACTGTGACTCCAAATGTAAAGATGGATGGAGAGGTCGGCAATGTCTGAAAAGTAAGTAGTGATAATTTAATCGATATCAGTCACGTGTTACTTTCCTTACGCTCTTCTTACATGTGTTTGTTGTGAGTGAAACAGTTTCTACTTAAGGATCTCAGTGCGCAATGTTAGTATTGAATGGATGGTTCCCACATTAACGTGTGTCGTAAATGATTTGAAAACTCTGTCAAATCAATTCCAATAAGAAAAGTTTTGATCGACATTCACAATCATAATATCAGCATTATTCTCTATTTGCGGTTTAATTGTTCATCCTGAATGTCGAGCTTGGAAATTCGCTTAGCACTCAACGCAATGGACTACTATAGTACTAACAAAGATCTGTTTGAGTGATGATTGGCAATACGTGTGTGATAATGACAGACAACTTCAGCTTCATAACAGCTTTTAATGAAGAGTTATTATCTCTTATCGTAAGTCGTAAAGATTAAATTTTCTTTGGGCTAAGAAGGTTTTATGAATGTCACCCAGAATGTTTGTCTTTTTTTTTCCTTTTGAAAAGAATGCAGGAAAGGGCAGTATGGACCAAGTTGTAACAACCGGTGCCGCAGTCAATGTAGCAGATGCCACCATGTCACAGGGAACTGTGCCGGTAACTGCCGTTCTGGGTGGCATGGGGAAAACTGCTCTTCACGTAAGTTTGTCTTTACCTAACGTAACAGCAATCAGTTTTCATAGGTATATTGTAACCTTGTCAGTCTTGTATGGTTCTGACTTTCTTTGCAGGATGTCCACCAGGCACATATGGCCAGGATTGCAGGAATCAGTGTCATGAAGGATGTCAGCCTGAGAAATGCGACTCAGACAATGGACATTGTGGAACTTCCTGTATAGCCGGATGGACTGGAGAAAACTGTGTTGATGGTACGATGAGTATGATCTATTGGCTTATTGTAGGGATTTGTTGCATCACACAGGTGACGATAGTCTAAACAACAAACACAACATGCATACCTACATGAGGTTAAGTTTTCCCGAACCCACAGTCTCTTCACAAAATGTCGCCGCTGCTGAAATATTGCTTGACAGAGGGAAATTGACTGTTGGTGTGTTGAAGTCACCTTCTTGTTATTCTGTCTTGTGTAGTGTTTCTATCGTTATGTATAGCTCCAAATATCAAACATAACGAGGCTGTCTCACTGGTCTCCATTATTTCTAGCTGAGGTGGGTATATTAGTGGAAGTGTTCCCGGCTTTTTGTACCGTTAATGAACAATAGCAGATCATCGCTACTTTGGCCTTCAGTCAAATGTCCTTTGTTTTGTCTCAGGCAAAACAAGCAGAAAAACCGACTAAACAGATCAGCAAGACGTGAAGCACAATTGGTGCCCTTGGGGGTGTTTACTTCTTGCATTATGCATTATCCCCAAATATGATCAATGATGAAGTCCAGCATCTCACATATCGTTTTCTAAATAAACAGATCACGTATGCCTTCATATTTGGTAAACTGACTTGAATCTCTGAAAATAGATAATGTAACTTTATCTATGGTCACCTTGTTTGGTGGCAAATGTTATGTATCATGTTTTTCCTGAAGGTAGTAATATTGATGGTATTGTCTTTGCTTCCCCGAAAAATGACTAATATTGTTAATCTTGGGACATTGATTTTGCTGGGATATCTGTTGAACCAAGTTGCCATTTCTATGTGAACGAATTTCATAAAGCTTTCGAATCAAGTACAGAATACGGAAAAGGTTTTATAATCGAATAAACAACTGGTTGACTTACTTATCCGTGATACCGGCAGACGTTTTACCTTTTTCCTCGCTTTAAATAGCGACAGCCAAACTTTGAGTGACGAGTGTGTGGAACAGGATGGGTGTTTTGTTTCACACTGTTCGCTTTGTCAGGTTAAGAAGACAGACAGCCAAACGTTCACGTCATAATGACAAGGTTAACCTTTTGTATCTTCAAGCTACTTGGCAAAATTGGCAGTTCCAAAAGAATCTGATTATGAAATCTGAACTATTTTTAATGCCTCGTTTGTTAGAATTTATTGATGGATGTGTCAACGCATTTTGCTTTGGCCACAGATTTTTTGTGTGAATAATCCATTATCTATGTCTGTGTAACCAACAGTAAACACATCGCATCGATTGACCTGATTGGACTATTGTATATGACTGACATCGGTACACAAATTGTCAATTTGATCCCGGAACAAGTCTCTTATCAAATGTGAACATTTATTGTCACCAACATCTAGTCTGTTCCCCTGCGACATACGGAGAGAACTGTCTGCTGGACTGCTCCATGGGATGTGTCAACCAGACTTGTGACAGAACCACTGGGCGTTGTGACGTGTGTCTAGATGGATGGGAACACGAGGACCTGAACATAACGAGATGCGACAAAGGTAGTGATTAGGGATACCCTCGAGGTACCTTTCCATAATTTTGATACACACTATATTAAGACTACAATAGAGGAAGTAAAACGTTTTACAACAAATCAGTTTTGCTGACCTTACCTTTAAAAAGGGAAAGGTTAATCACATGCATGTATCTATGACATGTTCATATTTCTTCCACACTGCCTAAATCGTGTATTCCTATTAAGGGGGTAAATATCTCCAATTCAGAATGACACATTGATATCACCCACAATGGGAGCAACACATTAAAGAGCCTAAACTCTAGAATCAGTGTTAAGTGCGACTGATATCTGGAGTCCCCAAAGGGTCTTAACGTGTGTCTGTTTGAAACATTGAATACATCGAAGGATGTGTTACGATGCATATAAGACGGCTTCTTTCAAAAGAATTGTTTGGGTTCCAGAGTGCGACAATGGAAGGTATGGCGAAAATTGTAAGGAAGATTGCAGCATCCACTGTATCAATGCCACGTGTCACCATGTGAATGGCTCCTGTACTCATGGCTGTCTGAACGGAAGAAGTGGCGAGTATTGTTCAGTTTTTGAAGGTAACTGCTAGGGCTTTCATTACTGATTAAGTCAGTATGGCCAACATTTGAATAGAATAATCTGGAACCCCGCTTTATATACAACTAGATCATCACGTGCGAACATATGTGTTAAGTATTGGAATGCTATGCAGGGAGGAAACATACACAGCACTCCCATTCTTTTCTATGAGCATAGTGTTTTTAAGAAGCGATATAAACTGAAGGAAAAAAATACGGGATCACATGTAAGCAAAGTGTTCTTTATTTTTTTCCTCACAAGCCTTGTATCGCACAGCTTGTGAAGAAACCTGGAAAATTTTGCTTTCATTTGATCCCTTATTTTTTTTCTCTCAGTATATATTGAAGCAAAGGGATTCTAGTCAAAGAACTGCAATCGCTATGTAACCTGACAGGTACTTTCGTCTCACAGATTCATTATGTGAATCTTTTAGATCTGTTTTTATGGACATAACATTTTCAGTTAATGAATACTTATTGAGTACCTTCATTTTCCATTTCCATATTTCTCGAGCACATCCCATCGTCGTCCTCATATAAACCATCCTCATTACACTCACTATGAGTATTCCTGTAACTATACCTGCAACAGTGTTACCTCCTCTTCTACCAGTGTACCTGTTATTATTGCAGCCGGCCCCCAGAATGTAAATCTCATCGTTGGACTCATTCTCTTTCTAATCGTCATGATCGCACTTGTCATGTGTGTTGTTTTCTTTCGGTGAGTGTTTTTCTACTTATTTGTATGGACTAATAAACCCATAACCCAATTACAAACAATACAGTATTTTAGAGACGAAACACCATGATAAGATATAGATCTTAGGTAGTGCGAATACTATTTAACATTTCTTGTCAGAGGATAAAAACCAAACATGTGCAATGACATAGTTGAGTACCAGACAAAGTTCAGAAGCAAGAAATTATGTAATGCAAATTCTACATGTAATATATATTTTCATCGCCAAAGTCAATAAGTCGTACGTGTATTTTTGTTTTATTTAGAGAGCCGTTGAGAAGATTTAGGGACAAAAGTAAGTAAAACCAGATGTACATCAAAGTGTATGTGCATGGTCATTAGTCAGTGGTGACGGCCATTTTTCGAAATATTTCATAACGTGTTTTTTTATTTATTTCTTGTTACACTTTTTTCTTTTCTTTTTTATATTTCTTGTTACAATTATCACCGTGAATGGTGTAAACGATATCCATAAGATCACACGCAGTAGTTGGTAGCCGGCTTACTATTGCTTCCTTGTGTGGTTTTCAGAGATTGAAGAAAGGAGTGCTAACGGGATGAACCTACCTATGGCAGCCCGTGGAGGCCAAGATGCATCGGAACAGGTGGCCGCCAACGACGAAGACGAGGCTATCTATGTCAATGTCCCGAGTAGTGTTCCAGTGGCAGTCAGTGCCTTCAAGGAATTCGTTGCCAGGAAGAAAGCCACAAAGGAAATCTTGGTGAAAGAGTATGCTGTACGTACTGTGAAGGCCTGAGTCACGAACGAGTGGTCCATGTGCATGAAACTGCGCCTACACCCTCCTCCTGGGAGACAAAGATCAATGTTATGTTATTGGTTGTCTCACTAAAAATACGTATTATGCGTCATTTGCTTTTTAACATATATTTAACATTTACGTACAGTTTTCACATCATCTCCTTACCTACTTTCATTGAAATTGTGCTTGGTACTACCGGAAGAGATAGTCATCTTTTCGTTATGCATACCTGGGGTTATCAATGATTTCCATCACTATATTGCATATGTGCTTAGGAAATATGTTTTAAGATGTATTCCGGAATGTTTACACTCTGGTGTTGAATTTACAGGAACTCCCTAAAGGCCTGACGGCTATTCACGACAAAGCAGTGACGCAAGTGAACAGCCCGAAGAATAGATTTAAAGGAATTTACCCGTGTAAGACACGAGCTTATTTTTTTCACGATATTGACATAGAACATAAATATCGTAAATTCTATTTATTTAGAGTCTACTGTCCATCGACGACAGGTCTTTAATCAGTCCACTCGACTCACCTAAAATTCGTTTTATTACAGCTTTAAAGCACGCAATGATATATGTTCGTTATGTACAAATCTTTCTTAAGGATTGCACTTACAGGTGACAAAGTAGTCTACTTAATCAATGGTTAATATATAGTGATATTACACCATGGTCTTCAAAATAATAACAGTTATTTACTACAGAATCTATAATTCCAATAAAATATATAAAGAACTTAATGTTTCGTGGCATTTAGTCACGATATGGCTGAAGTATTTCCTGTATGATTTTACGTAATAACTAACACGTACATATTGTAAATGACAAATTTGTGCTTGTAATATAATTGTATGAGAGCGTTAATACTATTTCTGTAAGATCTAATTGCTGCAATATACTCCTAATAATACGATTAACGAAAATAGTGGGGAACAATATTCTGTTGAATTTTCATATTCCAATTGTTCATTTGTTTGTCTTTACGTAACCTTTGGCGTTGGTTCGAGTTTCCAATAATTGGATTCATAAAAGTTCTCTTCTACAGATTCCCAACCATATGTTTTTAAAAAACGACTTGACGAAGCTCGGTAGTTATCATTGCAAAATACGTTACGAGCGATAATAAGATAATTCTGTTCTTGTAAGTTGCCATTACTTAGAACGAAATCCACATTTTGATGTAGCAAAGCGAAGTCTTTAAGAGTTCAATCTGAAACTGAAATCATGACTGCACATGTAGATTATAATTTGATAAGTACTGTATAGGAATCCGATGTCCGTGTCTTTTGATGCAGATTAAGTACACCTGAATGTATATAGTTTCAGAATATAGGGTCATGATTTGTTTCAGATAACCACTCTCTTGTAGTTCTGAAAGGGAATGGTGGCAGTAGTGGCTACATAAACGCCAGCTACATCGATGTGAGTTGACGGGATTCTCTTTATCAACCCGCTGAAATACTGCTTAGTCAGCTAAATGGAAATGATTGTGAAAGCACCTATGAGTGTTTCAGTGAGTGAGTGAGTGAGTATGTTTCTGCACCGCTTTTAGCAATATTCGAGCAATATCATGGCGGGGGACACCAGGAATGGGCTCCACATTGTACCCATGTGGTGAATCGAACCCGGGTCTACAGAGTGACGCGCGAACGCTTTAACGATTAGACTACCCCACCGTCCCTATGAGTGTTTCAGCACACTCGAATATTAGATATTAATTTAATTAAACCACTTTGTTGCAAACGTGGATTTCCTCTTTAAACAGACACACTGACAAATGGTTGTAAGATGCATACCACTTTATTACCTATCAAGCTATTTAAAGGCTACTGATTCAATCAAGGTGTATTGTATTTTGCAGGGACGAACAAGGGGGAAACAGTACATCGCAACACAGGGTAAAGAAACCATTTGACATCTAAGTCTGAAAACATATATATGCCAACATTCACGCCACTTCCTACAGGAGAGTAATTTCTGAGATTTCCGAGTTCAGTAAAGTACAATGCCATTCAGGTCATGAGATGTTTAAATATAATATCCTTCATTCTGTCCTGTTTGTCAACCCCTGAGATGGTCACGTGTTAAATGAGATATCCCACATTCTGTCTACTGTGTCCATCTATTTAACCCCTAAGATGGCCAAATGTTAACTACTATTTCACACATTCTGTCTTCTGTATCCTGTTCTTTAATCCCTGAGATGGCCACGTGTTAACCACGATATTTGATTATATATCTTCTCAGTCCGTATACTTTATCAATAAACGTAATATTGTATTCCATCCTAAAAGAGCAGCATGTTGACTAAGATATCCCACATTCTATATACTGTATACTGAATTAATGAACCAGTTATTCTCCAAGTGTCAGTCACATGGTTACTAAACTATGACCTCGGTGCCAGGTCCTCTGCCTAACACTGTTGTGGACTTCTGGAAGATGATTTGGCAAGAACAGGCTCCTGTCATTGTCATGCTGGCCAATATCACGGAAGATGGGAGGGTGATATTTAGTTTCGATATCAGTTCAATGATAATAGTACTTTTGATGTAGCCAATGAAACAATCATCGCTTAATAATGTCAGTATCCTATTTCAATGTGCAACCATTATGCTTGCTGAAACAGCCTAACCGAAATAATTGATAAACAAGAGTTGCTTTGAAAGACATGTACTAACGGACACCTGCTGTTAAATGGCATACTAGTATGTGTCGATCCTACTGTTAGAAGAGGACATGCATATCCTTTTCGTGGCAACACCTTGTGTCATCACTGTTTTTCACCGATCAGTTCAAATATTTTTCATTGCTAACCTTTTGTGCCCTATGTGGAACCTGTTAGGGCAAATATGCGAGACTGCATATTAATTTCCTGGTGCTGACGATTTGAATTTAACATCTACGAATGTCTTCTGTCAGAGACGCTGTGAGCCGTACTGGCCCAATGAACAAGGAGAGGACACCAAGACGTTCGGCCCCTGGAAGATTACAGTGGCTGACTCCTGTCCTCTGGCTGACTTCACCATCAGAACACTCACGATAAAGAAGGTGGGAGTGACAATTTCAATTTAGTTAGTTCAGAAAAGGTGTGGAATTAGTTAAAGACCCTTCCTTTTAGTTGAGTGGCTCCGTGGTGCAGTCGATGGAGCGTCTGCTCGGAGAGCCCTGAGGTCAGTGTTTCAATTTCCGGCCCCATCTTACTGAGGACATTAAACGACGGTACTTGCTATCCTGCCCAATGCTCGGGATTAAAGAGCTAACACACTACATGTTGGCTTGGAGTCTGTATACATTAGGGTATCGATTTTAAACTGCACTGTGGTATCCCAGTGACATAGCAATATATCGTCGGACAATCGAAAAGACACAAACACCGAAATACCTAAAGCTCTGTGTAGTTCAGTCCGGAGGACTCTGCAATCACGATTCAAGGCATAGTTTGACTTTCCTCAACTTTTTAGAAGAAATTACCCTTCCTCACAAACGTATTGCCGACATATAGAATTGTTTGCTAATTGATATTAATTTAGGTTGAACCTAGAATTATATACATAAGCATATCTTCCATAGGGAGGCATGCAGAGGACGGTGAAACATGTTCACTACATGGTGTGGCCTGACAAGGATGTGCCAGAAAACACCATGTCTCTGGTGGAGCTCAGGAACAAAGTCAGGACCTTCTGTGACTTCGCCCAAGGACCCATGGTCGTACACTGCAGGTACAGTCACACCTGGAGTGAATGAGTGAGTTCAAATCTGACTTTACATGAGCAATATTGCAGCCATGCCGTGACGAGATCACAATTGAATTATACATTTAGACTGGAAAAAAAAAATTAAAAATATAATTACTCGATTATCTCAGATTATATCTAAAGCTAATTTAGGAATACTCAGCGGTTAACATTATAATTCAATAATTCGAAGTTTGGCCAGAGTTCGACAGATGGAGTGTATAGAAGAGCGTATACGAGTTCGGCTGGACATGTTTCACTTCAATGCTCATGACCTTTGTGATGTATATGTTCATATATCGTCATTAAACTTTAACTTCATATATTCTTTAAAGCAGTCCCCAGTATGATGATCTACCTTCAGTTGCTGGTGATCTATAGCCCGTTTTTGTATATTGTACTGCTGTCTCTAATGATTTATTTTTATGATAGCGTACTAGTTTTAAATTAAGAGCTGTCATAATCTAGTATTTTTACTGTCCTTCGATGACAGGTTTTTACGTTCTAAATTTATTGATTTTACTATTGCTATAAATTAAATTGTTCTCGTCACGATGTGGCTGCAATATTGCCGATGTGACGCTAAATATTAACTCACTCGCCGACTCTTTAAAACAGTTTGTTGACAGATATTACCACATACGATACAAGCTTATAAATAACTTATATAGACAAATCAGATTTACGGCCTCTCATCTTTGTATACTGTCCGTAACAACTAGAAGTAGACAGGCGTGGTAAATTATTACATCACCATCTTCCATTCCCTGCCCAGTGCTGGTGTGGGCAGAACAGGAACCTTGATTGCTCTGGACTCCCTGATAGAAGACGCAGAGACCCGAAACATGGTTGACATCTACGGCTGTGTCTGGCGACTCAGGAACTGCAGAGTCAGTATGGTACAGACACAGGTCAGTAGATACAGGGAAACCTCACACGGTATTGGGAATAAGGGATGTTAGACGTACAGTTGAAAGCAAAGTGGAAACGCCTCTACAAACGTTTTTGTCTGAACGCAGGACGATGTCATCAATGATATTGCAGTGACATACACAGGAAAATATATGAGATAGTAATGATTTTATTGTAAAAGTTTAATTATTTTATCTCTGTGTCAAGGTTTATTTTTAAGATGTTTCTTAAATGTTCTGGTTATTGTATTGTTTTTTATGTTCACACACGTCAATGTTATATTGACATTTCCTCTCAATATTCAAATGCAAGATTAATGACATTGACTGTAACATATACGTTTATTATTCTATAGTCCCAGTATGTGTTCCTCCATGACTGCCTCCTGGACGCTCTGTGCCATACAGTCCTCTCCACACCCGCCAGTCTCTATGGCAACGCACATCAACAGCTAAAGAAGAACTCCAACCTTGCTGTTGCCTATCAGGTGGGTTATGTTTGCTCCAAGTTAACCTTGTATAATGGACGTAATTGTACATCAGACATGAACATGCTTGATAACGGTACAAGAATCTCCATCGAAACGTCCCACTCAAAAGATGTTGACATTGATAAAATTGGTCAATATTGACTCGATAATTATCTATACGTTCGTAATATACATAGAGCTATTATGGTGCTGGGCACTATTTCACAAAGCAGCCTTAGCGCCACGACTTAACACTTATGTCGATAGTCGTAGCGCTATGATGGCTTTGAGAAACAGGGTCCTGGTTACATAGGAACTACAACACATTAACCTGTACTCTCCAGAAAATCTGCGAGTGCCCTGAGACTGAGCATGTGAGTGACGCTGCCAGGGACCTAGAGAACATCGGCAAAAACAGAAACAAGGACATTCTTCCTGGTAGGTTTCACAGTGCCAGTCAAACCGACAAACTGGAATCTCGCTATAGTGAAAGGTACCAACCAAACGTACAAATCCTTAACCTTTAGTTCAGTATGCACGTCAGTTCTCACTGTAAGCAAGGGTAAGTCATTGAATCTTTCAGTGGACAAATGAATACAATATTGATATACTGGAGACGAGATGCAAATAGCTATGCATGAATGCACATGTATACAAAGGTTTAAGATGAAGACTACTTCTCAATCTCTGTACCACTTTATTACAGGAGACAAGCATCGCGCTACTCTGTCAACACGCGAAGCAGGGGGGCACCGACTACATCAATGCAGTCATCGCTCCGGTGAGTATTTATCACTGTCCCGATGTCATACATCACTCAAACTCATTTTCACTCGCTGACCTGGTTGACATCATCGTATCCCATTTGCACAGATTGATGCTTCTTATGCTGTTGATCACTGGATTATTTGGTTCAGACTCGATTATTTACAGACCGCCGCCATATAGTTGGAATATTCCTGAGTGCGGCGTTAAACAACAAACCAACCAACCAGCCAATATTTTTGTCACAAATGTGTCAATCTATATATTATCTGTCTGTTGTCATAGACATCTTGAACAAACCAAAAAAATATACTAAAATATATGTTTTTCATAATTGTCTAAGTAAAATGTGAAGCATTGGTTATTTTTTCACATATCCCTTGGTGATTCACATTTCAGTCCTATGAGAAGCGACGCGCGTTCATCCTCACTCAAATCCCCCTGACGTCCACAGTTGTTGACTTCTGGCGTCTCGTCCACGACTATGACGTCCGTGGCATTGTCCTGCTGGAGAACTACACCGACATGGACGCGGTGAGTCTTCGGATAAAGACCCGTGAAGATCCGGGTTAGAATATACCTCCAGTAACCCATGCTTGCGGTAAGAGGCGACTAACTGGATAGGGTGGTCAGGCTCGCTGACTTGGTTGACACATGTCATTGTATCCCAGTTGCGAAGATTGATGTACATGCTGCTGATCACTGGATTGTCTGGTCCAGATCCGATTATTTCCATATAGCTGGAATATTGCTGAGTGCGGCGTAAAACTAAACTCACTCACTCACTCACAGGATAAAAAAGAACACGATACCATACGATTACCATAGAATAAAACATGTACCGTTTGCTACTGAACTAACGTAAAACTCTGACAAGAACAATGAATGAATTCAGGTGGCACAAGAGAATACTTTTAACATCGTAATGTATCTTTTCAGTATGCTCGTGTAATGTTTTACTGTGTGTCAGTTATGGTTTACCTAACCTAACAAACCGATGTGAGTTTTAGTGTTTTACTAACAAACAAGACAATGTTAAATTATTCATTTCTCCCGTTTTGAACTCAGAAGTGTGGCATGTTCTGGGCCAAAGACAAAAAGCCGACCAAGTTTGGTCCCTTCAGCGTTAGTGAAGGGAAGATTGAGGAACATACCGGCTTTACTATGGAGAAAATCTGTTACAGCCAAGGGGTAGGTATAAAGGACCTTGATGCCTGAAAACACACGTGAATAAATGCTTGATTGATGAGACAATGAAGATCGTGAGTATCAAATGAGACTGATGTACCAATAAATCTAAAGAATGACACGCAGGTATGTATTATATACGAGAGAGTGATCAAATGAGACTGATGTACCAATAAAGCTAAAGAATGACACGCAGGTATGTATTATATACGAGAGAGTGAGCTGCTTAGTTGTTGAAGTAATATGTCAAGACAGCAATGATATCAGCTGACGGATCAGAATTTCTTCTGTACTTCTCGGGGAGGTTCAGTCGCCCAGTAAAAGCGTTGACTCTTCAGGACGATGACAGGGTTCGATTACAAGTATGGTGAACTGGCTTCCTCCATAGTGATATGGCTTGAATCGTATGGCGAACTGGCTTCCTCCACAGTGATATGGCTTGAATCGTATGGTGAACTGGCTTCCTCCACAGTGATATGGCTTGAAACGTATGGTGAATTGGCTTCCTCCACAGTGATATCGCTTGAATCGTATGGTGAACTGGCTTCCTCCACAGTGATATGGCTTGAATCGTATGGTGAACTGGCTTCCTCCACAGTGATATGGCTTGAATCGTATGGTGATAATGCGGCCTAAAACTCCATTCACTCCATTCGCATTTTCGGAAAGGAACCAATGCATGTAGATATTGTCTTTTAACACACACGTGTAACCATTTCATTAGAAGACAGCTGTATATTTTAGTTCCTGAACATCAAAAGGTCATAATTCGGGTCATTACAATTCATTTTAGTCTGTTTCAAGTTACCTGCTACCTTTATGAGACGTATGTTTAGTTGTCATGTGAATCTGACGTTAAGCTGTGCTCAAAGCAAACTTTCACTGCATAATTGTAGACGATGTGGGCAACAGCGTACGATTTGACTAGGCAATTAATAAATGCAGTTTCTAAACGTGTAATGAAAAATGTTGGAATGTGAAGACTCATGCTGCTTGAAATGAAAATCATGAGTATTATTCTTTAAAAGATCGAACATAAAAAGCATCTATTTTAACGGATGAATAAAATGTTGAATTTGTCTCTAATGGCAAAATAGCATTACCTCAAATATCTCATGATGTAAAAATTATTGAATTGACTATTTTCACTTGACAAACAAGAAGGAACATGGTGGTTTCAGATTAACAGGGAAGCATGTCTCTGAGATCACCATTGATATAAAAAAACTGATAAAAGATCGTGATTGTCGGTGACGATATACATCCTTGTTCTGCACGTATACACGACTTCCACGTTTGTGTACAGTATTAGAATCTACACCGTATCAACACGGAAGCTGGTGCTGTGGACGGCAGTAACCGATCCCTGCTCGTGCTGGCATTAAATATGAAACTCCTGGTTTGGTCAAGTGCGACATCAACATGCATGTAGAATGTAATGTGCAATGGACAGCCCACATGGTGTGTTCTCACGTTGTTCCTGGTTCTAGGGTAACCCGTTCCGTGTTCTGTAGAAGGATGTACTGTACAATGAAACTCCAGCTTCGGGTTCACCAGATGTTATCCGGCCTGATGACGTGCAGTGATCAGATATTTTGGCTCTGATAGTATACTTCCCATCAAAACTTTAGACTCACTTAAAACAATCACTATATGTTATGTATATATATATGGTTACATCAAAGATTGATTTCTCCACTAACTTGGGGGAACCAACTGCAGACCTTATGCAGATGAATTGCACGAGGATCATGCATCAGATTGCTGAAATGCATGTGCAAATATCGTGCTTGTGAACAGCTGCATTTTGGTGTAAAGTTTTGTTTAGAAATCGCCAATTTACACTGATTTGTATCATTTATTGAACTCATGACAATAATCTTTTCAGCGTTACGAATTTCTTTTTACAATACATCAGTTCATGTGTAAACGGTACCTTTAAACATTAAGGAATATTTTGCAAAATTTAGTTTAGAACAGTTGCCTGAAGTAAGTGGCTATATGTACACCAGTGGGTCTAAACTTCTGATGGGTAATATATTTGCTACTTAATCTGATATACCGGATCATGTTCCGGGGCCACATGTTTATAAAACGTTACAGTATTTAACACTGTTATGGAGTAGTGATCTGACATAGGCACGCAGAATGCAAAACTGGAAAAAATCGGTGCACTTGTTCATGAAGTCTTTAAATTACATGTATATGTCAAAACGCCGTTTGCACCAGTACTAGAAATCTGAATGACACATGTACATATTTGAAGAAGCAAGCATTGTCCATACGAAGAGGGTTTCCATCATTCAACAATCTTCACACACATGAATTTCACTGTAACATGGAGGGGGGGTGTTCCCACTTGTTCAAGGCCCAGCCACGAAGACCCCGGTTCGATTCACCACATGGCTACAATGTGTGAATCACATTTGTGGTGTCTCACGACGTGATATTGCTGGAATAGAGCTCAAAGCGATATTCACTCACTCACTCCGTTCGTGTGGTTCACCAGTTGTGTGTCGCCACGACCTGGGACGATATTCATGCTTTCAGTCACTGTTGTCTGTGGCTAGACTTTATATTGAGGTTTGTCACAAAGTACAACTTCATGTACAATAAAGAGCACAGGTTGAATTTGAAAAACGTTACTATGTTCAACTGCCATCCTGCGTGCCCTTTCACAAGACAAGTACGTTACCGAGAATGTGTGCAACACCGTGAGCTGTTACCGCTGCTCTGCTGGTCCTTGACCCAAACTACGTAAATCTACGGATTCTGTACCGATAAGTTCTCCTCCATTCTTCCTGAAAGCAGAGGTTTCCTGAGTACGTATCCTACAAAGATTTTATCGGGTTCGGATCCGGCAGATGAAGGAAGTCAACAGGGACACGAGCTGTGTGTCCAACTAACTGGCTGTTGACAATCTGGTTTGGATTCGGCAGATGAAGGAAGTCAACAGGGACACGAGCTGTGTGTCCAACTAACTGTCTGTTGACAATCTGTAGAAGGCGACGTTGAAGAATTGGTCGATGTACCAATTTGCAGTCAGACTCTGTCATATTTGGTGAGAGAGATATGGCTTCCAGGCATGGCTCCCTCCACTTCCGTCCCCTAATATGTCAAACGCACTACCTTCATTTCGAAGTCATTAGACACGCCGTATTGCCTATGCGTTGTTGCTCCAAGGCCTGTGTTGTTGTCGATGCAGTCGTGTGCATTGTGTATTCATAGTAGAGAAATGTATTACAAATTGATGACTGATTTTTACTACTTATAACCCTTGACACAGCGCAATTGTCACAACGTGCACGCACTTTCTGCTTTTAATTCTTTTTCTTGATGTTTTCGTGCAGTCTTTCAAACGTTGTTCACTAAAGCTACAAACGTTTACAACTGTTGCGTGTGTTTTTCACCATTCAAAAACTATTATATATTTGTGTATATTTGTGTATATACAAAATCAACATTATATCCTGTGCGTTCCTTTTTTTGAAGAGTGTATCACTGACTGTAGCATGCCTCAACTAAACTCCCTTTGATATATATGGATTTGTTCCTCCAAACAGAACGTTGAAAGGGAGGTAACCGTGTTCCGTTCTCCCGCCTGGCCTAAGAAGAGTTCACTTCCGGAATCGCCATCTAGCCTCCTCAGCTTGATTGACTTCCTCAGACAGTGGAACGCTGGTGCTCCTTCACCCCTTCTAGTTGTCTGCAGGTACCACTAGCCTGTACAGTAGCTATTAGCAACATTCAATATCTCATTTTGTATAGTTACAGTCTATGACTGTTAGTGTTACACAATGTATACATGTAGGGAGATATCCATAGTTGTTACCAACGTGGTGCCTAATAAGCCATTTTCGAGTTTTGCCATTCAGAGTTGTCTATCCTTTATGACACGTGACCAGGGGCATTAATGGCTTACTCTGTTTCAGGGACGGAGCCACCAGAAGCGGTCTCTTCTGTGTTATTGCCAGCGCAGTGCAGCGCCTGCTGTTGGAAAAGGAAGTCGCCCTCCAGCAGACGATACGCAGCATACGTTTTGTCCGGAAACAAGTTATTCCCAACCTGGTATGGAAATATTGTTTACGCAGTCATTGGGAACATGGACATATTCCTTTTATTCGCGGTACGAGAACCAAAGCTGCATCAGATCCAAATCGCCCAGATTCTTGGTTTGCCTACCATATTGGTGCTTATTGGTTGTTGATGTTTATATCCGACCTTTTGAGTCATTTCTGGCTCCTAGAAGGCTCAAATTCTTATATGCAACCCATATACTGTTCGTAGCAACAGTTCATTAATTATGTCATTATATAACGAAGTATGACGATTTATGAATTTAGAGCATACTCGGTAGCAGAAGAAGAATGTGCCATGGGCATATCGTTCACAATGGTGACTGTGCATTAAATAATCATTAGTCTGACAACTCATTTGGCTTAAAGCACCAAGAGTGCTAACAGTTACTGGAACTTGCATGAATGTTTTCATTATATACTTTTAAAAAAAAAGTAGGGGAACTTCGTTTCTGAATTTACAGTTGAAACAATTGGGAGATGTATCGCAGTCAATCAATGTTGATATGATCATAATGAATGTTTTTAGAGTGCATCGTCACATGTACTTCCTTATGACCATGCATGGTTGTTTGTACAGTAATCGCTCTTGAAAGATGATTGGTGTATGACGGGAAATTGCATGTGAACGATATTCATTTTCAAACAAAAAAAAAAAAACCGGCTAGAGACAAACACTAACAATTCGAGGGGTTCGTGCCAGAACACCTTAAGTAAATAATTCTGTCAAATTTAGGTAAGGGTATTAATGCACTCACATACTGATGTGTTACTCATAAAAAAAAGCCCATAGCAATCAGGGGCTTAATTAGGTGGTTATGCATTAGAGTTCAAACAATTTATCAATTATCTCTCCTTTTTGGTATAGACCAGGTTATGCTATGTTAAAATACACCGTTCAGTCCTGCTCAACTGCTGTAGCCACGCTTGATATTCTCATGCCATAAACCCTTAACTGGCAGCAGTCGCCTCTGGCAGACTGTGTGGTGTCCATCAAGAATTTCCCTTACCGGTTAAAACAATTGATATGCTGAAGGAATGTTCTGGCTCTTTTAGGACTTACAGCTGATAAGGACCTCTCTCCGGGATCAGATGGTCTTAATTACTGTTATTCTGTTGTGGCCATATATAAGCTGTGCCTCTCCCAGCTGTTTACAGGGTTTGTTTCACACTAGCCAAGGTTAGTTTATTTTGAACCTTGGGAGAGGAGCTATTTACTAAAGTGTGCGTTTATATTAGGAACATTTACAGTAATGGAAATCCCACTAAGACATTACAGGTAAGTCATATCTGTAAATAGAAAATAAGTACTTGTTAAATATAACACACATGAGTGTGGTAATATACTTGTATTTCACTTACGAGATTTGCTGTCTGTATAAAAGTTATTTGCCAGCACTAATTAAAATTGAAACTAAATTGCTTTGATTATTGAGTGTTAGTGTTATCAAATTCAGTGTGTGATATTAGCCAGTCCCTTAGTTTAGTACTCTGGTTTTACGTCTATGTAAGATGTCTGAATTATGGTCCGACGCAGATGAAGATGAATTATTGCAATCTGACTTTGCCACAGCAAAAAGTTGGTCACTTGCCACTAATATGTCAGTCAATTCTGATTATATTCAACATGAACCAAACCCATGTGGGGTGTGACTGGATACCCCAGCACAATCTGATAAACTATCGGATATGCCAATACAGTATGACGCAAATGATGAAGAGGATGAGTCAGTGGATACACCAGCACCAGATCATACCACTGAGGATAATCAAACCCAGTTTGTATCAATACAGCTGATGGATACTACGCCCAGATGTTTACCACAGCAGTGTGCAATACCAGTACAGAGTGATGCGCCTGCAGACATACCAGTACAGAGTGATGCGCATATAGACATACAAGTACAGGGTGATGCACCTATAGATATACCAGAACAGAGTGATGCGCCTATAGACATACCAGAACAGAGTGATGCGCCTATAGACATACCAGTACAGACTTATGGGCCTATAGACATACCAGAACAGAGTGATGCGCCTATAGACATACCAGTACAGACTTATGGGCCTATAGACAAACCAGAACAGAGTGATGCGCCTATATATATATATATATATATAGATAGTATAGATGAATAAAATATAGTTTCGCTCAATTTGTTTACTCTTCAGGGAGATTGTATCTCCCTCGAAGAGTAAAGAACGAAACATGTTGAGAAAAAGGCATTCTGTTTTTATTTATCTATGCAATATTTATGACTGAACACCTGTACTACTTTGGACATTTTGTGCGTATATATATATATATATATATATACCAGAACAGAGTGATGCGCCTATATATATATATATATACCAGAACAGAGTGATGCACCTATATATATATATATATATATATATATATATATACCTGAACAGACAGCTGCACCTACAGATGGTGGTCGTGTGAACTGGTTGTCAATGTGCTGGATGCGCTACATTAAAGGCAACCCAGAAAACATCTTCTTCAAGTCTGAGCACAGCAATGAGCCATTCGGAGAACTAAAAGTGTCTACAGGCAGCCACCGGGGAAGTCCTCAGAGTATCTGTGGACCTCTGACCCGAAGGTACTCGGGAAAACGAGCAATTTCCTCAGCCAAGAAAAAAGATCTCATGTCACTCTGTCGGTCGGGTATTATACCCAGAGAGTATCACAACTATTACAAAGAACTCCTGGCAGATGCTGACAAAGTAGAATGCCTCCCTTCCTGGACGCCTTTGAGCAGGATACAGACACCGATACACACTCTAAAGCTACGACACTGAAACAACAGTCGTTGCTTTGTGCTATTACATGGTGTATGTTATAATATGATTGTGGACATGGGTGAGGATAGTGTAATAATCATAGTGTCATAGTCTGGTTTTATATATTTCTTAGTCACTTTCATTCAAATGGCATGCCATGTTTCCAAGAACATGTTATGTTGTATTATTTCCTGACTCCTCATTTACTGTAAAGTGTTCTGCTATATATTTCCTCATTTTGCAATTTAACTTGCACACATATTTCACTAATAAATCACTTTTTTCCACCAGACCACAAAGTTATGTAAACCTTTTCCTATAAGTTATTTAACAGTATAAAGAGTATGAAATAGTGTTAAGAGGTGGATATCAATATTAATTCTCAATTCAAAAAATAACATTTACATTTTGAGACGTCATCAAATCATTAACGAAAGGAAATACTACTCATTATTATATCTAACATGTCACATATCTAACATGACATATCTATGTCATCAAATACCTAATGTGATTATTCAGTGTTCTATCTAATCTGTGTGATGTAATCTTTGATTCACTTATAACAGACTTAATTTTTTAGTATCAAAAGTCTTTAGCCTTCATCTATGTCATAGTCTAGTGTCATAGTTCTATTAAGTTTTATCATCCAAAACTATGTTCCACAGGAGACATTGTTTGTGTGGAGATCAGACGATATCTCCTAGGACATATCGTTTTGAGTGTAAATTTTGCACAATGCCCTGATCAATGATATGACGTCATGAACTTGATGACGTCACATGAAGTACATTTTTCATTGAAAGCTAAGGAAGAGTGATTTTTGATGAGAAATAGAATTCGTAGTACTCGTGCCTTCTGATATCAATATATCAACACTCGTTTATCAAAAGTAAAATATCGGCAAGCCTCGGACATTTGTTACTTTATCAACTCGTGGTGATATATTTGATATCAAAAGACACTCGGGTAAGATAATTTATATACCAAGCGGCTTAAATTATTACTCAGATCGTTTACATTTATCCCTAGTTTGACTTAATATGCAATGGGCTTATCTGTGGTTGCGTATTATGTGTATGTTTTGTGACTGTGTTGATTTTCATCTATTCAGTAATTTGAAACTATACTTTTTATGAATTTCTGTTTACATGTAATATAATATTGAAATAGTTAAAAATACTGAAACACTTACAATGTCTTATAGTAATTGGTTTTATTCTTCAATAAAGAAGTACACGGTAATGATGGATTGTGGAACTATGTTGAAAGTATTGAGACGCTGTTGTCATCTAACAGAAAAGTCTAAAAGAAAGTCTTGAAGGTGGTTTAAGCAATTACTGACGTCTTCAGTGATAACAACATGTGAAGATAAAATCTCACAAGCACAATTCAAGGCGAGCTATAAGTAAAATGCATTCAATAACAGAAAGGCAGTTACTGCTGGTTAATGGTTCCAGCCACCAGCTGAGAGTGTGGGATACTGCCGAGAGCAGCTTTACCGCAGGATATGGTTACAGGGCTTAGAGGAAACAGTGGTTGGCTGGCTGTGATGATATGGGTGATCTTGAGATCAGGGGTCATTGCTTTTAGTTGGCTTCCGCATTGATACAATTGTTGGGGCAAAGATAATGATCCCCGAGTTAGTGGAAACTGCGACACAGGGAAATCGTATCCGCAAACATGCCACAATCCCCCTGTTTAAAGATAACCGGATTCTTGACTCGGGGACAGACATATTCTCAACATATTCTTAACTGCCATACACTGTGTTTCTAATTTAACTGGTACTCGCTCTCATGTTTACAGAGCCCAGAGTGTTTTACATTTACGCCAGAACAAGCTAAAGTTTATTTTCGTCATACCTATTTAATTAGGCTGATTATATTTATGGTTGTATAGTAACATGAATGCACCAGCATACTCTGTCACCTAGTCACAAAACAGTAAACAAGAACTGATTATTGTTGTTTTTTATAACTGTCCAAACATTTGAGTGCTGTTTCTCGAAATGTGCCTGTGTGGTTATAAGTTGTTCTGGCTCTAACCCCTCGAATTGTGTGATGCAAGATGATTGTCAAAACTAATGGTCTACATCTATTTATCTACTTTCTTGAAAACCTTCAAAATCAAGAATGACACCCCATGCATGTGTATGGGGCTACTGTACTGTGCACGTGCATTCCATGCGTTGTGTTTAGGGGTGGTGATAAAGAGAAATGGTGGTGCGTTCATAAGATGTCTGTCTTTGCAAGGTTTGCTTACGCTTACACTTCCTATCCGAATTAAAAGTCCCCCTACTTTTCTCAAGAGTATTGAATCATTTACAGAGACTTGGCTTCGAAGTTATTACTGCATTTTTTATTATAATTTCAGGAACAATTTGAATTCTGCTATGACTCTGTGAAGGCCTACATGGACAGTTTCCAGGAATACTCAAACTTTGCTTGAGATGAAGTTTCATTGAGTTAGTTCGCTAGGTGTTCTTTGTTGAGTTTTCTTTCTTTTTTTCACTTTGTTACAATTCCATTATGTATGTTTTCTATTTTTTCGTTTCTTGAAAATGTATTTACAAATCTTCGTTTCTTTTTAATTCAGGTCGCCTGTGAGCATTGTTCACATGACCGACAATAAATGCGATGTCAGTAGCAATACAAATGTGAAATTCACATGCAACTTTCCAGATGGATCTCATTACTGTAAATATTTTGTGAGAGCATCTTTCAAAGAACTGTTGTCAGTGTTATCACATAGCGAGGTGTATGTTAACATCGGGTGAACAAAGAACTGTTGTCAGTGTTATCACATAGCGAGGTGTATGTTAACATCGGGTGAACAAAGAACTGTTGTCAGTGTTATCTCATAGCGAGGTGTATGTTAACATCGGGTGAACAAAGAACTTGTCAGTGTTATCACATAGCGAGGTGTATGATATATCGAGGTGTATGTTATAACGAGGTGTATCATATAGCGAGGTGTATGTTAACATCGGGGGAAAATAGGATCTGTATTCCTAAATATCTCGCAAGGCTGATAAACTTGCTATTTTGAGATATTTTGATTATTACTTTTTGTTTTGTTTTATTCAACATGTAGTTTTTAATACTTTTTCTTTTTATGTTATATGTAGATAATATGTTTAAACCTTTTATAACATTGCAGTTAACACTTCCTCAAATATTACGAAACTAAAACATCTGACTGTTCTGGAAAGTGGACATACAGATGTCCCGTTTATTTCTCCTGATTTAAGAACAGTTTCTCCATGTTAATTGTTCTGTCCTTAGTGTGTGTGTCAATTTAGATTTCATATATATATAACAATAAATACAAGCGACAAACCGTCAGTAAGTATTACCCTCTATGCAAGAAGTGATTATGTCGGCTTTGGGCTCCAGTAAATGTAAGTGTAGATCGCTCAGAGAAATATTCTGGGGAAAGTGAATTAAATCATGTTGAAACAGAACGATATTGTTAAATGATCTATCATGAATGTCACATTTAAATAGTAGGTATGAAATTTATGTTTAAGAGCATACCCCGTAACTGTCACCTTGTTAATGACTTCTCTCCTGTTGATCTCGGCAAGTTACTTGTATGCTTCCGTAACTGTCACCTTGTTAATGACAGCTCTCCTGTGGATCTCGGCAAGTTATCTGTATGCTCCCGTAACAAATACAATTTATGTACAATGTTTAGAATTGAGAAATGCATTGAGTTTGATCTTTTGAATCGATTCGTTTTTAAGGTTTTTTTAATTGCTTTTAATATATTATACTTGTTTAATATGTGATATCATTATGCTTCGTTTATTTTTTATCCTCTAAATAACAAATATAACCATAACATTTGATAAAATACCACATCAGTATCGTTCTGGACAACTGAAGCCCAGTTAAGAATGTTGGATCAAACGTGATTATTTTCAAGCAATGGATAGGGTTTTTGTCGATGTCTTGAACCAACTGAAATCGGCAGTCGAATAAATATGCAATGTCATAAGGGTCAACCTTTAAGCGCCTTATATCGATGTCAGGTTTGCTTGCTCAATAATATTATGTTCCGAGTGTGTCTTGATCAGTTTGGGGAAGTTTCTGCACGTGAAATGGCTGCGAATCATTTAGTTGCTTGTAATGTAACTACTACAAAAGTAGGCCATTCAAAGAATGACATATGTGATAAAAGTATTATTACCCATGTCAGGTGCTCACATGAAAGTATAAAAATAGATACGATTTGTATTCTTAAGAGGGGTAGGGCAAGACATGCCTACCCGTTTCGCTTCTTTTGTCATCACTGATTTTCAGAGGTTGATTCATATTATTTTCACCGCGGTTTTGCCGTTTACACCGACTGGAATCATATAGACATTTATTCAGAAAAGATATATTGAGATTTAAACATTCTGTATGAGGATGTAATTTGAATGCACATGATCAACATTCAAACATTTTGTGGTATGAGCCAATTTCAACAGAATTACATATACAAAACGCAATTTTCTCACAAATCAAACATAAACGTTAGAAATTGTTTTCCAGTTGTTTGGTATTTCTTTCGAAAAGTCTTGTATACGATCTAGACCTTAGCCAATGTGAACACACTTTTAGCATAACAGAGAGAAGCACAGTTTGGCAGAACATTCGTGAATGCTCCGATCTTTTCAGGCGATAAGATGGAAATGTTAAGCAAGGTCAGGATATTACCACAACACCTTATGGATGTTTTCAGTTATTTTGCATGCATCATCTCAGAATATTACATTTGTTTTATGTTCTTTTTTATACATTATATTCAAAAGGTATTTGTATATTACGTTTAACAAATAAATGCTTTTTAAGTATTTATGGTGTGTTGATTTATTGTTACAGTTGCTTGTATCAACAGAAACGTCTACTTTTCCAATTAATTACCAATATGACCACCATAGTTATGATAAGGTGCACTTCATTCTTCACAGGGTTACACAGACATACATTTAATCATAACATTGCACAAAGGATAACGTCCCAGTCCCTGTTTGTCGTAAGATATAACTACAGAAGATCGAGCGGTAAGGTACATTTATTTACCCAAGGTGGTAACCCTAGGTGTTAAAGTGAAATCGTAACAGAGTAGACGGTTGCTCATACTATCAACCACTAGGTTGTTTTCTGAACCAGACTCTATTGTGTACAGCCTACCTACCGTGAAGGTCCGGGTTAGAATGAGCCTTCAGTAACCCATGCTTGTCGTAAGAGGCGACTAATGGGATCGGGTGGTCAGGCTCGCTGACTTGGTTGACACATGTCATCGGTTCCCAATTGCGTAGATCGAGGCTCATGCTGTTGATCACTGGATTGTCTGGTCCAGACTTGATTATTTACAGACCGCCGCCATATAGCTGGAATATTGCTGAGTGCGGCGTAAAACTAAACTCACTCACCCACTTGAAATAACTATGAATGTGACGTAAAACAACAGTATTCCACTTTTTAACCATTTGAATTGGGTTGTTATACCCAGTTATACTCACAGAGCGGATATCCGTATTGAGAAATGTGACATTAACAACGAAATAGTGCACGGTATTTACTTGGGTATCCATAGTAACGTAAAGTATGAAGCAATCACGCAGGGCCTGGGGACAAGTGGCTGATTTGCTCGAACTAAATAAATCAAACACCGTGATATTTAGCCTTGTTAATGTTCCGTTGGGGCAAGGATAATTTACCGTTAGAGAACCTTCATATCAATAATGGAACACGCTGATGGCTTTGATGAAATGGTGTAGTCTAAATAGTGTTGGTATATACAAGGATAAGCCTCTAGCATGTTATCAGCTTTCGCTCGTTGAATACGTTTTGAACCAACTCACTGTAACATAAATGGTACCTGACAGACACTCGTGTAGTAATCTCTGTGGAGGTAATAGATGAGTGTAGATAACATACAGTGTTGGTTTCTGGTCGTCATCATAACTAGTTTATTCTATTTGCTTCTTTTTGAAACCATTCTACTGTATCTGTATGTGTGGGGGCGGTGGGATAGCCTAGTGGTTGAAGCGTTCGCTCGCCACGTTGAAGACCCGGGTGCAATTTCCCACATGGGTACAATGTGTGAACCCTATTTCTGATATCCCCCGTCGTGATTTCCTGGAAGTTCGACGTAACACCGTACTCACTCACTGTATGTTTGTGTTACAGTACAAAAGATGATTTCTTAAACCACAGTGACAGAATAACGACAGACGACTACACCAACCTTACTCCCACAATAAGTGAAGGGGATGAATGGAATAGGACAGTATTCTGTCTAACCAAGGATATGGGGAGGGTATAACTGAGAATAGTACCTTGTATTGTCTTTTCGACCATGTAGCGATGGTATAAATGAGAATAGTAACTTGTATTGTCCATTCAAGTATGCGTGGAGGATGTAAATGAGAATAGAGCCTTGTATTGTCTATTCAAGTGAGTGAGTGAGTTTGGATTTACACCGCTTTTTGCAATATTCCAGCAATATCACTGCGGGGGACACCACAAATGGGTTTCACACATGTGCCCATGTGGGGAATCGAACCTTGGTCTTCGGCGTGACGAGCGAACGCTTTAACCACTAGGCTACCCCACCGCTATGGTCTATTCAAGCATGTAGGGAGGCATCCTCGATAATCTCCAGGGTATACGTTACGATCACTCTTCACTATACCCTGGATGCATCCTGGGCTTGGCCCGATGATTTTATTACCTCCCTTCGCTGGCTTTTTATCCAATCAGGTGTCTACGCTGGGAAGTTGGGCGAACCAATCACAACTCACTTTCGCTTCTTAAATTATCTAGCCGTTTAAACTTGGCAACACAATTGATGCAGAGGTACTCTGAAAGAGGTGGAAGGAGTTCTTTCATATATTTTTTTCAAGTTTTAGATCTGTCAATATGTCTGTATGATTTCCCCAAAAATCTGAGTGTCACTGCGAACAAACCTTCGCGACTGCGACCGCTATCTTTGTTGACACTGGCAAGCTCGGATGTAACGGCGGTTTAGCTGATTGGCTAATGTGAGAATGCGGAGCCAGCAAAGGGAGGTAATATTATTATCGGGCCAAGCCGTGGATGCATCCAGGGTATAGTGAAGAGTGATCGTATCGTGTACCCTGGAGATTATCGAGGATGGTAGGGAGGGTATAAATGAGAGTAGTACCTTGTTTTGTCTACTCAAGCTAGTCGGGTGGGTATGAATGGGAATAATACCATGCATTGTCTACTCTAGCATGTAGGGACGGTATACATGAGAACAGTGCCTTTGATGGTCTACTCTAACATGTAGTGAGGGTACAGATGACAATAGTAAAAACTCAATTCACTCACTCAAAGTAATCGACATTTCGCAATACATCAATGAGCAAAAAATACATTTTGAATGAGATTAAAATGTTTATTAGTTTAGTAGAGTGTGTATTTTCGACTGAAATTCAAACATGGATTAACATCAGCGTCGACTGTACGACCAACAATGCCAAACTGGATGTAAAAAGTATTAAATGAACTGACAACATCTTTAGAGTGTATTGCTAATGACCAGTAAAGCGCAAGACAAAAAGAACGCTGAAGTAAACACATGTAGCACATATAAAACAGTACAAGTAGAACATCCAATATCTTCATACTGCCTTGTGGTTAAAGCATCCGCTTGTCACACTGAAGATCTGGCTTCGATTCCCCAGATGAGTACAACCCATTTCTGCTCTCCCTCATTTTTCCGAAATATTGCTAAAAGAGGCGTAAAACGATACTCACTCACCCATTCCACCTTGCAGGGGTTATTGGTTTAATGTCCTCTGCCACTACAACTAACGCGTCATTGAAGAAAAGAACTTAAGAGAAGCAACACGACGTTTTGGGGTATATTCTTACTCCTTCATCAGGTGAACTTCCATAAGATTCCTACCCCTTGTTGATTTTAACGCTTCTGTTCATGCTCTTGTTATACTTGATGAATCTTATTGTATCATCTCCATGCCTCTCACCTGATGAAGGATGAAGAAGTAAGAATATATTCCGAAACGTCGTGTTCTTTCCATAAAGTTCTTCCCTTCACTGAAGTGTTAGTTGTATTCCTCAAAATATAGAAGTTGACATCGATAACATTCTTGAACATACTACATCTAAATGCAGTTATAAGACTTAACACTTCATTGTATCAAAATGTCATATTTGGGCAACATTCAGATGACTTTAATATGTAAATTTCTAATAAACCGCAAGGGTCAAACCATGAATTAAGACATTAATAGTAGTACGGATGAGGACTGCCTCGTCCTAGTCATAACATCGTGTCCTATTTTGTACCTCCAGATAATTCCACTTGATACCACAAGGCCGACGTGTTATTCCGTCTGGGTACTATGCATCACTTGAATCTTCCCAAAAGGAATCAATGTCTCCTTTGCCTCGCGCAATCTTACTTAAAAGTAACAGCGGCAAACTCTTTCAGTATTTTTTTTAGTCGTGAATTAATTTCAAGACTGAAATTAATTCACGACTCTCTCTGGGTCGTGTTCCAAATCGCCCTTGACCCGCTACTGGATTGATCTTTGATCCAGGACAGCGAAGCAGTCGCTTACATCCTTCTCTAAAATCCTTTTTCTGCCAGGCGTAAACGATGGGATTGAGAAGAGAGTTGGATATTCCGAGGTATACCGATGTCATTCGGACGTATGTTAGTACGGGATGATAACTGAAGATCTGAATGAGCCCGAGAATGGCAAAGGGAGTCCAGCAAAGAGAGTATACAATCAGTACAACCCCCATGAACTTGGCACCTCGCAAG